TCATGTTTTCCACCTTAAAAATAATGAAAACGAAAAGGCAAGCCACACCTGATCAAAGTCAGGGTATTTTCAATCACTTCATATGCATATAGAAGCTTGACAATAAAAAAAAGAAGACAGAAGAAGAATTGGAATTGTGGTGTTGGCGAAGAATATTGAATACGCTGTGGACTGCCAGAAAAACAAAGTCCATCTTGGTGAAGTACAGTCAGAAAGCTCCTTAGAAGCAAAGATGTTGAGACTTCATGTTACTTACTTTCGACACTTCATCAGGAAAAACTAGTCACTAAAATGGACATCCTGTTTGGTAAATCAGAGTGTCAGTGAAAATGAGGGAAACCATCCATGAGATGGATTGACACAGTGGCTGCAACAATGGGGTCAAACATAGCTACGATCTTGAGGACAGTGCAGGACTGGGCAATGTTTTGTTCTGTTATACATAACATTCCCTACTTGTCTGTCAGTTGTTGTACTGTGGTGGCTTGTGTGTTGCTGTGATGCTGGGAGCTATGCCACTGGTATTTCACATACCAGCAAGGTCATCCATGGTGGACAAATTTCAGTGGAGCTTCCAGACTAAGACAGACTAGAAAGAAGGAACTGGTGGTTTACCTCTGAAAAATTGGCCAGTGGAAACCTTATGAATAGCAGTGGAACACTGTCTGGTATAGTGCTGGAAATGAGCCCCTCATGTTGGAAGGCACTCAAAACACAACTGGGGAAGAGCTGCCTGCTCAAAGTAGAGTTGACCTTAATGACATGGATGCAGTCAAGCTTTTGGGACCTTCATTTGCTGGGGTGGCATGACTTAAAATGAGAAGAAACAGCTGCACACTTTCATGAACAATCAGAACATGGAATGTACAAAGTATGATAATATCCATACACTTACAGGGAAGACCAGTTAATATGACTATTATTATTCAAATTTATGCACCAACCACTAATGCCAAAGATGAGGAAATTGAAGATTTATACCAACTTCTGCAGTCTGAAACTGATCAAACATGCAATCAAGATGCACTGATAATTACTGTGATTGGAATGCGAAAGTTGGAAACAAAGAAGACTAAGTAGTGGGAAAATAAGGCCTTGGTGATAGAAATGCTGGAGATCACATGACAGAATTTTGCAAGACCAAAAACTTCTTCATTGCAAATACATTTTTTTTAACAATGTAAATGGCAACTATACACATGGACCTTGCCAGGAATCAAATCAACTACATCTGTGGAAAAAGATGGTGGAAAAGCTCAATATCGTCAGAACAAGGTCAGGGGCTGGCTATGGAACAGACAATCAATTGCTCATATGCAAGTTCAAGTTGAAGCTGAAGAAAATTAGAGTGTGTCCAGGAGAGCCAAAATATGACCTTGTGTATATCCCACCTGAGTCTCGAGAATAGATTTGACTCATTGAACACTAATATCTGAAGACCAGATGAGTTGTGAAAGGACATCATACATGAAGAAAGCAAAAAGTCATTAAAAAGACAGGAAAGAAAGAAAAGACCAAAATGGATGTCAGAAGAGACTCTGAAAGTTGCTCTTGAACGTAGAGTAGCTAAAGCAAATGGAAGAAATGATGAAATAAAAGAACTAAACCGAAGATTTCAATGGCTGGCACAAGAAGACAAAGTAAACTATTATAATGAAATGTGCAAAGACCTAGAGTTAGAAAACCAAAAGGAAAGAACACGCTCGACGTTTCTCAAGCTGAAAGAACTGAAGAAAAAATTCAAGCCTCGAGTTGCAATATTGAAGGATTCTATGGGGGAAAATATTGAATGAAGCGGGAAGTATCAAAAGAATATAGAAGGAATACAGTCACTGTACCAAAAAGAATTGGTCAATGTTCATCCATTTCAGGAGGTACCATATTGTCAAGAACTGATGGTACTGAAGGAAGAAATCCAAGCTACTCTGAAGGCAGTGGCAAAAAACCAGCCTCCAGGAATTGACAGAATACCAATTGAGATGTTTCAACAAACGGATGCAACACTGGAGGTGGTCACTCGACTATGTCAAGAAATCTGGAAGACAGCTACCTGGCCAGCTGATTGGAAAAGATCCATGTTTCTGTCCATTCCAAAGAAAGGTAATCCAACAGAATGTGGAAATTATCAAACAATATCATTAATATCACACATAAGTAAAATTTTGCTGAAGGTGCTCAGGGATTCCATAATTCTAATGTTAGATTCTTTATTTAACCCACATTTCCTTTTGGGTTTGTTCACTTTTCTTTGTTCTTTTCTCTTGAGACTTGATAAGTTCAGTTATATTGTCTTCTAGTTTACTTATTCTTTCTTCTGTCCGTTTGACTATTGTTGTTTCTCTTGCTTTTTCTAACGCAGATTATTTTTTGAATTAAACATCTACACACATCAATGCTCCACACTCATCAGAGCCTCTACACCCATCAATGCTCTTGCTTTTTTCTATTTTTCTATTCTTCAGTTCCAGTAGTTCCCTTTGCTTTTTTTGTTTTCAGTTTTTTTGTTAAATCTCCCATTATTCCTTTGTTTCCTTATCTCCTCTATTTTGTTTTCAGTGTGCTTTTTCCTTTCTTTAAACATATTTGGCACCATAGTCTGAAAATTGTCAATTCTTTGCATTATTCTGGCTTCTATGGGAGAGATTTCCTCTTCTTCATGTTTTGTTTTTCATTGTTCCTTCTTTTCTTATGATTTTGTATGTTTTACTATCTTTTGTTGAACTCGAGCCACTTAATTATCTTTTTTAAAATTTATTTAGCTTTAAATTTTGTGCTCTATTGTGTGAAAATTTTCTCATTGGGCACCCTGGTGGCACAGTGCCAAAGTATCCAGCTGCTGACCAAAAGGCCTTGGCCCATACCCACCAGCCGCTCCTCAAGAGAAAGATCTGGGAGACCACCTCTGCAAAGACTCACAGACCCAGGAAATCCATGGGATAGCTTCCCTCTGCCCCGCAGGTTCACTAGTAGTCAGAATGACTCAGCGGCAGTGGGCATGAAGTCTTCTCCTGAGAACCCTTAGATGGCACTCTTATCCTTATGTTTTTTCCAGTGCTGGTTCAGGAGTTCTGTATGCTTGGTCTCTGGAATTCAATATACACGTATGGGAGGGGGATTAGTTGGAGATGCTGATGTAAGCATTGGGGCTGGACTTCCCTGTGGTGGCCGTGTGAGACTGTCTATGTCTTTTCCTCACAGGCGCCCCTACACAGGCCCTCCAATAGTGACCCACTTTTGGCCGTTTCCTTTGTCCCTGTCAGTCTGAAGTATTCCCTTCGCACTTCTGCCCTTGTAGTTTCTCCTGGTCCTAGTGCCTGTCCATCTTGGGCTTCAGTGAGATTCAACAGCACTCTCATGCTGTGCCACAGTCTCCCTTTATCCCCTCCCAATTGCATGGCCCATGAACACCCACAGCCAATTTGTGCTGCCTTAAAAAAAAAAAACTGGGCTAGAGCTTCCTCAGATTAGCTCCTTTTCTGTATTCCCTGTTTAGGGTGTTACCCAGCCCTGTCCCCAAATGGTCATGATGAGGAAGCACTCCCAGTGAGCTGGTAGGGTCTCCTAGATTCTGAGCCAACCCCATTCCACCTCTCCCCCGCTTCTGGACTCACCCTGACTCTCCAATACCTCGGCTGCTATTGGAGTTCTGAGATCTCAGTCTGTGTTTGTTTTCAGTCGTTGTCCAGTGAGTTAGTTGCTGGGGGAATAAATGGGAACGTCCACTCACTTTGCTATCTTGCCCCACCTCTGATCTTTTAATTCTTTGTCTACAGTTGCTCCCTGGTCCCATGTTAATACTATATAAATCCTGATGACTCCCAAATTTATATTTCCAGACTGACCTCTTCCTTGAACTCCAGATTCATAAATTCAAGTGTCTTTTAATCCACAAGAATGTAACTGGCATCTCTAACTTACATGTCCAAAACTGAAGTCTAGATCTTTCCCCTCTATCCTTCCAGTTGCTAGGGCAAAGACCTAAGAGTTTTCTCTCATACTTTACATCCTTTACCATGAGGAAATCCTTTTGGTTCTACCTTCAAAATAAATCCAGAATCTATTTCTTATAAGCTGCAATTCTAGTACCTTGACCCAAACCACCATATTTTCGCCTTGGATTACTGCATGAGGCTTCTGTTTTCTCTGCTTCCGCTCTTGTCCACTCTCCCTCAACTATTTTTAACATAATAGGGTGGTCTTTTTTGAGCACATACTCAAAAATCTTTCAGTGCCTCCTCATTCCATCTCACTCAAAAAGGTAAAAGCTAAAATCTATTCAATGACCTGCAATGTCAGCAAACTATAGCTGGAGGGCAAATCAGGCCGTTGTCCATTTTTGTCAATAAAGTTTTATTGGAACACAGCCACACTCATTTTTACATATTGTCTGTGGCAGCTTTCGCATTGTAACAGTGGAGTTGAGTAGCTGCAACAGTGACTATACGACCTGCAAAGCCTAAATATGCACTATCTGGACCTTTACAGAAAAAGCTTGTTAATCCCTGCCTTGCATTATCTGGTCCTCTGTTACCTCTGATTTCATAAGCTGCTTATTTTTTGTTTCTTCTCTATCTCCCCCCACCAGAATGTATCTTCCATAAAGTCAGGGATTACCACCACCACCACCACCCCGCCCCGTTTTGCGTTTTGTTCACTGCCATATCTTCTATATCTGGAACATTTCTTGGCAGGAGGTAGGCGCTTCTCCAGGTGTGAAAGGAACGAGGCGGCTAAGTCTCCCTCGAGGGCTCAGCCAGCCTTAGCCACACAGGATGGAAGCTTTTAATCTGAAAGGGATCGGACATCGATCACTCGAGCCTCCACTCGCCGAGCCTGTGGCGAACCGAGACGCGGGGATCGGCTGGGAATGCCTGGGAGCGCGGGCGCGCTGAGCCAGGTGGTAGGCGCAGAGCGGCCAGGCCCGGAGCGGCCAGGCCCGGAGCGCCGGCGGCGCAGGGCGGCGGGGCTGCAGCGAGGGCGGGGAGGGGTGCAGATGCGCGGGTTCCGGCAGGTGGCCGGGGGTTGGTCCCGTAGCCTCAGGTGGGCTCCCTGGCCGTACCTGGTCCTGCAAACACGTGCCGGCCGGGAAGGGGAAGTGCTCACCCGCTGTTTTGGGCGCTGTAGCGGAGGCCGGAGTGGTGGCCGCGAAGCGTGTCCAAAGATGCAGGTGACTGCAGGCGTTTCTTCGGTGCAAACCTGTGAGGCAAGAATGGCCCCCGGGGTGGTGCGGATACGTCATTATCTCTCCCGGGAAAACTTTTTAACAGTAGTTTTATGGAAGAATCTGGAACAGTCAAAATTTTCCTTTTTAAGAACTGAACCTTAAAGAGGTCTTGGAAATTAACCCTAAGATGTCCATCTCTGTCAATTTATGGGGAGCAGCACACTTAAGATTGTGTGCGGAGCCGTGGTCTTCTCTCCCAGGCTCACGGTAGTTCCCTCATTCCAGGAGATAAGGGTCATTTCATGTTTTAGAGCTTGCTTTATTCTTTCTGTTGTTGAATTCCCAAAAATGTTTTTAATTCACGTGTGTTTTATATTGTAGAAAGAAGACATTGTCTAACTGGATAACATGAAGTCGAATAGAATTCCACTTTGTATTAGTTCAGGTCAAGAAAGTAAAAGTAAACCATTGCTGCCTTTCCCCTGAAGTATCCTGGGTTTTATTACTCAAAAGACCCGGTTATTCTAATACTCATAATGTCAGAAGGGAAATCTGAGCAAAAAACACCTCGTAGAAGTTTATCAATCAGCAAAACTAAAAACAAAGGATCTAGTTCTATTATTTCGTATTTTAACAATGTACCACCTGCTAAACTTGCCTGCCCCATTTGTAGTAAAATGATACCAAGATATGACTTAAACCGGCACCTTGATGAAATGTGTGCTGACAAGGATGATGCCGTTCAGATTGATCCCGTTCATGTTGACTTAACTCCAAAGAAATCATCACCACTAAAGAGGAGTTTAAGCCCTGGCCAAAGTGATTCGGCAAGAAAGATCATAAAACAGCAGACCAGTGTCTACTTTAAAAGTAATGATGACTTTATGTGCAGAGATAAAGATGAGCTGAGAAATCGTAATGTGAAAGTCATTCCTTTGGGAAGCCTGTCATCCAAATTGTCTAGAAAATACATAAAGGCTAAAAAAGCAATGGAGAAGAATGAGGAGTTTGGAAATCACAGAGTTACAAATCCACAGAGTTCCTTATCCACAGTGGTTAAGAGCTTGGTTGACAGCAATTCAGAGACGGAGGACAAGGATCAAATTTTGGAGAACTCTTCTCAAAAGGAAAACGTTTTTGGATGTGCTTCTCTTAAAGAAGAGTGTGCTCCTGAAGATACCGCAGGAGGCAGTAAGATGATGGAAACAGACAGCCAGATGACCACCCAAGAATGTGAGGAGTCAGCCTTCACCCCTGGCTTCTCAGATAATGCTCTTGCATTATTTTCACCAGATTTAACTCTTGGGAATGAATTAACATCTACTTCACAAGACAGTGTTGAAAAGCAGGACAGTATCAAAGGAGTAGATGGGAAAGCTGAAAAAAGTGAGGCAGGTAGTTGTAAAGAAGTGAAGATGACTGTTGCTATGGAAGCGAAAACACAGTTGTCGCATTTGGAAGGAAAATCTTTTAGTTCTGCAAATGATGCTTCTGAGTGGAGTAACATCCAAGCGGTTCCTCTGGAAGGTGACAGTAGCTTACAGGATGAAATCACTGGTGGCATTCCTTTGGAGCAGCTCCCAAGCTGTGGTGTTCCCGATACAGCTCAAGCACCACCGAGTCATCCTTACTACCTGCGGAGTTTCCTGGTGGTGCTGAAAGCAGTACTTGAGAATGAAGAGGATATGATGCTCTTTGATGAGCAAGAGAAGGGAATTGTAGCTAAGTTTTATCGATTATCAGGTATCTTAAGCCCATTTACTTTTGAGTTTTTGTTTCCCATTTACTGTCCTGATTTTGGCAGTGATGTGATGGGCAGTCAGTGCATGACCAGAAGGAGTCACTGTGGTTTTGTGAGTACAATGTTGTTATGGGAGTCAGAACTTACTACAAGGTTTGTATCTGTAAGGATCTCTGTCAACGAGACAAGACTTTGTGCTGGTGGTGTTCACTCCTGTAGTATCATGCCTGACAAGCAATACTTTGGTTATAATGGAAACAGTGGCTTTTTGTTTATATATATATTTGATGGATGTAAAACAACCTCTTGCAGATTAAAAAAATGCAGTGTGACTTAGAAAAGCATTCTTGCATTTGTGCATGTAATCTGACTGTGCGGTGATTTTTTCTTAGACCATTTCCTCAAAAATTAAAAAAAAAAATTACTGGAAAAAACCAGCCCGAAACTTGACACATATATATATGTATATGTCTATATATATATGTGTCTATATATGTGTATGTATATATAGTGTATATATATATATGTATATATATAGACATATATATATACACTTCAGCAACATTTAGGTTTTGGGTTCCTGGACTCTGCCTTTTCAAGGCAAGGTGTGGAGGAAATAGAAAGATTCAAGTTAAATCGGTACGTTTCGAAGTGTTAGTCTGTGCCCCCATCCCGTGGCTGCTGGTGGTGGCTGTGAGCCAGTGGTGTGGGTTTGGAGCAGAAGCCACCCTGCGGTGCTGCACCCCTAATCCAGCGGGTCATGGTGGCTGCTGCAAACGAGTCCCTTCGGGGGTAGGGAAAGCTTACTTGTGGGTGACGCTATCCTCTAGTAATATGTAGCTATGTCTGACACTTTAGTAGATTAAAAAAAAAAATGGAACATTACTACTCGTATTCAGAGAATTATGTTTATTTTAAAATTCACACAAGGCAATGATTATAGCATTCCTTGTCTTTTTAACATATGAAAAATACTTCTCTGGTCACAGTTACGGAAGGTATCCATAAGGCTTCCTTCTCTGCTTCTGGGGTTCTCACCAGGGGATGGATGTGAGATACCATGTTGGCTCTTCCACCCAGAGCGGCCACGGATCTGGGCTGGGTGCTGGCTGCGTTAATGTGAGTGTGTGTTTGAATGGTTGGTGGCTCCAGGCTTCGGTGTCATTGCAAAACAGGAACAGTTTTCCGAGCACAAGTTCCACATACTCTTACGCAGTACTGCGTTCCAAGGAGAATCGTTTCCAGTATGTCTGCGTGTGGAAACTACTGCTAATTGATTTTGCCTCTTTAAAGGAAAAAAAAAATCAGTGTTGAAATTTTAAAACCTACAATTACACCATTTTAGAGTTGGAAGAAATTTCAAGGTAGTCCAGTGAAGGGAAACGGAGACTGGAGAGGTTGGTTTAGTAGTTTGACCCAAGATGACTGAGCTAGAGAGAGAGAGAGAGCTGCCCTCCCAGAGTTAGACAGGTTTTTGATGATTCCTTTTAGATTTGTTTCTTATCAACCAAAAATAGAATAATGCATATTAAACTAAAAGCAGAGGGCAAAATAACTGCAATTCTGTGGAGAGCTCCTCTGAAGGAGGAGAAATATTGGTATCAAGAAAAAGTGGGGACCTTGGTTTTTAGAAGTTCTGAAATGGCCAGCAGTCATGACCAACATTTGAATTTTTTTTAATGCCTTATAACACATTGAATATCTTGTTTAATCTTTCCACCAACTTTGGGGAGATGGTGGTATTGTTCCTTCACCCGCCTGCCCTTTTTAACAGAGGAGACTCCGTGAGGGTCAGTGACTTGCACGCAACCCAGAAGCAGCAGAGCTGGCCCAGAGCTCCCCATCCCGCGTGCTTGTCCCATCCTGTGGTGATGGTTCAAGGGGCAAGGGGACGTCCCCACAGGTACTTCTGATTGAAATAAATTCCATCTTCCAAAGGAGGAAAAAGATTCTCTTAGAAGATCAGTTCAGTAAGCGTTTGTGTATTTCTAATAGTGTGTTTGACTCTCCTCAGTTTTAAGAAGTAAAGGTATTTGTATATTGTGTTTGAGAAGAAAGTTAATATTTTTCACTGGTTTGTTGACTTTATTGCAGCTAGTGGGCAGAAGTTATATGTACGACTCTTTCAACGTAAATTAAACTGGATTAAAATGAACAAATTAGAATATGAAGAGATTGCCCCAGATTTAACACCAGTAATTGAAGAACTGAAGGAAGCAGGCTTTCTACAGACAGGTATGGTTAGTAGAAGGAAACGTAAAATGAAAATACTGTGTGAAGAATTAAGTTTCTGCAGAATGATGGTAATACTAGTATGGTGCCATCTCCTGGTTGATGCCTGGTGAATAATGGTTTTTTTTTTTTTTTTTTAAATGACAGTTTTTAGGACAACAAATTATTCCTGTGATCCTAAGGACATTCTCAGCCTGGGTGAAGAATACGAGAATAATGAAAGATTCTCTGCTGTGATTTCCTTGACTGTCACAGGTTTAGGGCAGTAAAGTTACCTAGGGATACACATGTGGACCTGTGCCACAGAAGAAAGTATTTTTCACTATTTTTCTTGACTTCATTGCAGCTAGTGGTCAGAAGTCATGTGTAAGACTTTTTAAGTCATCCTTCCTCAGTCTCTTTTTCCAGCAAGAACTTGAATCCATTTCAGATTCCTCTATGATAGAATGGTGCCCTGGTGGCACAGTGGTTAAGAGCTTGGCTGCCAACCAAAAGTTCGACAGTTCGAATCCACCAGCTGCTCCTTAGAAACCTATGGGGCAGTTCTGCTCTGTCCTGTAGGGTCGCTATGAGTTGGAATCGACTCAATGGCCATGAGTTTGGGTTTTTGGGTTCAGTGATAGAATAAAGCTCATTTGTTTGAAATTAATATTGCCTCTAAAAACTTTACCCCTGCGTGCATACACAGACAGATCTTGTAGTTTTATGAGCTGAGTGCTTTCAGAACTGTTTAACTGGTTTACACATATGTGAACACTAAAGGAGAGTTTATCTTATTCTCCAAAGACAACTTTGGTCGTCTTGTCAGTAGCATTCCTTAAGCACCCACCTGTGTATTGAGTGTAGTATTGTTCTGGAAACTGGTTAGATGTAAGGAGAATGGAAGATGTGAGCCTTGGGTTCAGGGTGCTGACATTTTAGACAGAAATAAGCAGATCCAGCCAGATTTTTCTGTGGGGCACAGTCTGTTGTGGGGAGTCGGTGATTGTGGTGGGGCTACGTAGGGTGGAGATGGGGAAGGCTGGGGACAGACATGGAGGCTTGGTGAAGGAGCTCGGATATGATGGCTTAGGCACCTGCTGTCCTGGCTGCTCCTTGGACCTCGTCTCCCTGCCCTCTCGCTCACTCTGCTGCAGCCTCACGGGTCGCTTAGCTGTTCTTCACGTGCTGAGCCATCGCGTTTCAGAGGCTTTGTGCTTGCTGTCTCCTCCACGTAGGACAGTCTTCCACACAGCTGATCCCCGCATTTCATTCACATCTCTCCTCCGTGTCACCTCATCAGAGAGTTGTCTGACCACCCTGTACGTCGTAGAGCCGGCTCCCTGCCATGTTCAGTTTGCCTTACTCATTTTTGTTCATAGCCCTGATCACCACCTGACAGACTTACGTACTTATTATGCTAGAATGGAAGCTTCTTGTGGGCAAGGACTTTATTTTGTTGATGATAGTGTGCCCAGGACCTTAGAACATTATGTGGTACATAGTACACCCTCAATAAATATTTGTGGAATGAGGGAAGAAGACAATTCCCTAAACTGAATACCTTGAAGACAAAAGACCAGCCATGTCTGATTCACTGCTGACTTGGGGTCTAGCATGGTGTCTGGGTCACTTAATAGTCACTTACGTTGAATGAGTGAACCTGTGAATGGGCCCAGAGGGAAACCCTGAGAGAGAAGAGAGCTGATGGGCAGTATACTCTGTGACCTGTTTGGAGAACTCTGGTTGGAGGTTTTATAATTAGAAACCAGTTGCTGTTTAGTTGATTTTGACTCATGGTGACCCCATGTGTGTCAGAGTAGAACGGTGCTCCATAGTGATTCCAGTGGCTGATTTTTTAGAAGTAGATCACCAGGCCTTTCTTCCAAGGTACCTCTGGGTGGACTTGAACCTCAACCTTTTGGTTAGCAGCCAAGAGAGTGTTAATCACTTGCATACCCAGGGATTCCAATATATATACCAGTAAGCTTTTTGAAGGAGGATGCCTAAACCATAATGACTCTCCATATGCATCTTTCTTTTATTCACATTTTTTTCGTTACTTTTTAGTAAGAAATACTGACTCTCAAGAAATACTGACTTTACATATTCTTTCATAATTAGTTTGGCAAACTCATTAAAATTTCTACAGTAGGATTTCATTTTATTTGCATAATTTCCTTCTTCCTAAAGGAAATAAAGTTAGAACGTGGTAAGATTCTTAAAAACTGTTTTTAGCTACTTTCTTTTTTAACCATTTCAGAATCTGAACTGGAAGAACTCTCTGAAGCGCTTGAGCTACTTTCTGCTCCTCAACTAAAAACGCTGGCGAAGACCTTCCACCTGGTGAATCCCAGTGGGCAGAAGCAGCAGTTGGTGGGCTCCTTTCTCAAACTGGCCAAACAGCGTTCAGTCTTCACTTGGGGCAAGAATCAGCCTGGAATTGGAGCAGTGATTTTGAAAAGGTTTTATTGACTATTATTACAGTAACCAAAACCCCAAACCAAACCCACAGCCGTGGAGTTGATTCCAACTCATAGCAACCCTGTAGGACAGAGCAGAGCTGCCCTGTAGGGTTTCCTAGGCTGTGTAAACCTTATGGAAGAATATTGCCACATCCTTCTTCCACAGAGCGGCTGGTGGGTTCCAGCTGCCAACCTTTCAGTTAGCAGCTGAGCGCTTTAACCACTGCACAACCAGGGCTCCTTTGTTACAGTAAACATGTTTAAAATCTTAATAGCACATGTTAACTTATTGTAATAGATTGTACACTTTTTTGGCCAGAAGAGTCTTAATTACAATACCCTGAATTTTCTTGGTTTATTAATCATAAGTCTCATAGTACTGTACCACTTTCTAAGACCAAAAAAAAAAAAAAAAAAAAAAGTCAATAGGCAGTAGCAAAGGCAATAATAGGCTTTTGGTAAATTCTAGTATTTTATTATTCAAGAAAAATACAGTTTTAACTACTATTTGTATAGGATTTTAGTATTCAGTCAGATTTTTATTTTAGTAGGCTTTTTATTAAAGTATAGTCAGTCCATCTTAGTATGCAGCTTTTCTTGGATTAAGACATAAAAAATTACCAAAAACTGTGGATGATTTCATTTACACTTAAGCCCTTGAACTGTTTCAGTTTGGGGAAGATTATAACAACTTTTAGAATTTTTGTTTCTTCTGCCTGTGTTATCTATAAAATAAAACTGTATCAACTTCAGTGTGGAAATCCACTATTTTGGAGTAGTTGAAGATGAAATGAAATAATGCTCTTCAAAACTCTTGAAAAATAATGTCGATGTTATTTGTTTTATATATATACTTGTAATTTTGAACTGTCGTACATCCAGAATTGGACCGAGTTCACTCTTCTTGGGAAGATAGTATAAGTAATAATCTTTAATAGAGCATAGGTATAATAAGGCTTACATTATTAAGAAAAATGTCAGTACCAACACTTCCAAAAAGTTTATACTATAGATTAAAAAAAAAAAGGCACGTTTATAGTTACTTGACTTTAGAAGTATAAAACCTCATCTCTGTGGTATGTTAAATGTCTTCTAAGTCCATTTTTTTAATCTAGTTCTATTTCCTGATATTTTATTAACCTTAAGTCTAGCATCTTTATAAGTAAGTCAGCATTGAAATCAGCAGCCTCACTGAGCACTTAGCATACGGACATACGTAAATGAAAGAAGATTAACGTGTTTATCACTGACTTTGGGCTTCTGGGAGAGTAAAACTTTAAGGCTATTTAGTTGTACATAAAATTGCTGTCCTTTAAGATTGTACTTCACTTAATTTCTTCATTTCGTTGTAGGCCCCAGAAATGGAATTTCAGAGTCCGTAATAGTCCCACATCAGGGCAGTACTGGTTTGTCTACTCTGCTGTTATTATAAGGAAACAGAAAATGTCATATTATTCATACTTTCTTAACCCTAGTAGATAGTCACTGCTCAGTTTTCCATGTCTGCCACCTGGAGGCTTGATACACTGGGGGCATCCCCTGAAATGGATGAAGTGGGCCCTTTTTTGGCCATCCTTGCAGCTCAGTGGTTTTCAGTTAAATGGTGGTGTGGTCAGAATCCTCACCCCTGCCTCTCTCATATCTTTCTTTGTAGCACTAATCTCTGCCACACCCCCAGGGATGCAGTACTGCTTTCTGTTCAGTAGGTTCTGGGATGGGAGGGTGTGGGGACTCCATTAGGCAACTGGTTCTCAACCAGGGGTGATTTTGCCCCCCAGGAGGCATCTAGCAATGGTGACATCTTCGTTGTCACAGTAGGGGGGAGTGGGGCGTGCTACTGTCATCTAGTGGGTAGTGGCCAGGGATACCGCTGAACATCCTACAGTGTACAAGACAGGTCCTACAATGAAGAATGATCCGGCCTCAAATGTCAATAGTGCTGAGGTTGAAAAACTTGACTGTAGATGGTCCCTAAGTTGCTGGAGTCCCAAGGGCCCACAGGGCTCTGGGTTTAATTCAGATCTCCAGCCTCACCTGGCAAACATCCAGAATTGAACTAAATCCCTCTAAGGTCAATCTGGAATGGATATGCGCCTAGGCTGCATTGCACATCAGAGTAGCACCAAACCTTGGTGTAGATTTGTACCGCTTCCTGGTGTACAAAATGCCACACCTTTCCAAGAGCCTTCGATAAGGACGTTTAAATAAATACCTATTATTAAATCTAAATAGTGACTCGAATCAAGAATTGAGAATTGCTAATGTTGAATAGATGATACTTTTATGACAGTTTTCCTAGTATTTTAAATGTTTATGAACAAGATAAGCCCTATACTACTGTGCGGCTAGGGAAGGAAATACTTCTGTTGAGCCAAACCATGTGTGAAATTGTTGGGAGACGTTACTTCGTTTAAACTTCACTGTGCCCCTAGGTGGGACTGTGCCCCAGAGAGGTTAAGTAGTGCTCCAGGGTCACGTACCTGGGAGTGGTAGATTTAGAATTCCAACTCCAAAAAGACTACTGCACTCTGCTGCTTCAGGCTTGGAATAATGAGTGCCATCTATATTTTAGCCGAAAATAATTTGTGAAATCTGATATCCAAATGCCTAAAAAAGAAAGGTATTTCTATATTGTACATTTTTCAGAGCTAAAGACTTGGCCGGCCAGTCCCTGAGAGTCTGTAAAGGCCCCAGGGCTGTGTTTTCCCGGATCTTGCTACTGTTTTCATTGACTGACTCAGTGGAAGATGAAGAAGCTGCATGTGGTGGACAGGGACAGCTTTCTACTGTACTACTGGTCAACCTTGGCCGAATGGAGTTTCCTAGTTACACCATCAATCGGAAAACCAGAATCTTCCAAGACAGAGAAGATCTCATCAGGTAAGATCATATTTAAAAAAGACCCCATTGCCTTTGAGTTGATTCCTACTCATAGTGACCCTATACGATAGAGTAGGACTGCCCCATAGAGTTTCCAAGTAACACCTGGTGGATTCAAAGTGCTGACCTTTTGGTTAGCAGCCATAGCACTTAACCACTACACCACCAGGGTTTCCAAGATCATATTAGCCCACTGTAATATCTCAGTGTGTGTTTTAATTAATGTAAAAGTTTTTATTTATTTTTCCTAACCACAGTGGAAACATGAGTTTACAGCCAGAACAGTAGTTAAAGTGTTTTTGCTCTTTACCTTTTTTGTCTCACTGACATACATTCCTAAGAATATAAGGAGAACGTAGAAATGTGTTTAGATCAAGGTTGACAAAACAAATGAGTTTTGAGTCAGAGCAACCAAAATTTTCCCTGGCTTATGTTCCCAAATAGCTTTAGTAGGGAGCATTTTTTTAAAATAATATTTTATTGTGTTTTTGGTGAAGGTATACACAGCAGTTTAGGTTCCCATTCAACAATTTCTGCATAGATTGTTCACTGCGATTGGCTGCATTCTTTGCAATGTGTGAACATTCTCATTATTTCCGTTCTGGTTATTTCATTTCCATTAATCTAGTTTCCCTGCTGCCTTACATTTTCATCTTAGTTTTAAAGTAATTGTTGACCGTTTGGTCTCGTATAGGTGATTTTTTAAAGGATGTAAAAGTTTTATTTATTTATTTTTCCTAACTACAATAGAAACTAAGCCTACAGCCAGAACAGTATTTAAAGTGTTTTTGTTCTTTATCTTTTTTGTCTCACTTACATATGTTCTTAAGAATATAAGGAGAACATAGAAATGTATACTTTGGGTGATACGCATTATTTTGTGAGCCGATCTGTTATTTAGCTACAAGGTGACCTCGGGTTAGTTTCGGTTCAGGGTTTGAAGAGTATCTCAGGGCTATAGTCTTGGGGAGTCCTCCATCTCAACCAGTCCAGTAAGTCTGGCTTTTTTTTTTTTAATAGGAATTTAAGTTCTGTTCCACATTTTTTCCCATTCTATCAGGTTCCACCTACTGTGGCCCTGATTAGAACAGTCAGTAGTGGTAGCCGGGTACCATCTTGTTCTTCTGGCCTCAGGTAGATGAGGTCATGATTCATGTAGGCTATTTGTCCTGTAGACTAGTTTCTTCTTTTAGTCTTTGCTTTCCTTCTTTCTCTTTTGCTCTGGATTAGTTGAGACCAGTAGCTGTTTATAAGCTTTAAAGACACCAGACATTACTCACCAAACAAGAATGTAGAGCATAATTTTATAAACTATATTGTGCCAGTTGACCAAGATGTTCCACAAGACTGTGGTCCTAATCCTTCAAACCCAGAAAACCAATCCCATGAGGTATTTGGTTATGTCTGAGAGGTGTCTAATTATGCCCCCTATGAGCTTTATTATATATATGAATATACATGCAGAGTCACGTAGATATATAGATATATGCATACACCTATATATACACACATACATACTCACATATACAAACCTATAAGCATATATGCCTACCCCCACCAAAAAAAAATCCCTTTGCCATTGAGTTGACTCCAACTTATAGTGACCCTATAGGACAGAGTAGAACTGCCCAGTAGGGTTTCCAAGGAGTGGCTGGTGGACTTGAACTGCCTGCCTTTTGGTTAGCAGCTGAACACTTCACCGTATATACCCACACATATATTTTTTTGGTTGGTTTTGCTATGGTTTTAAAATTACGTATGTGATAGCAATCACCAACAGGTCTTTTCTTGTGTACATGTTAGTAACATGGTTCACCTTCGTCAGGCTGTGTACAGTTCACTCTCGTTTGTTGTTACCTTTCGCATCACCAAAAACAGTAAGTTCTACCGGCTAGAGAGTGGATCCTTACCCCCCACCATCCCTGGTAACAACTAATGAACATTAGTTTCTGTATATTTACCTGTTAATGTCATTTCATAAAAAAACATACTGTATATATATATATATATATATATATAAAATATGTATATTTTTTGTGTTTGACTTATTTCATTCAGCATGTCCTCCAGGTTCACCCATGTTCGAAGATGTTTTGGGAACTCATTTTTCTTTATTGCTGAGTAGTATTCCATTGTATGTATGTACCATATTTTACTTCCCCGTTCATCTGTTGATACGCACTTAGGTTGTTTCCATCTTTTTGCTGTTATGAATAGTGCTGTGAGGAACTTAGGTGTGTGTATGTCTGTTCATGTCACTTCTGTTAGATCCTAGGGTATATACCGCAGAGTGGAGTTGGTGGGTCATATGGCAGCTCTACCTCTAGTTTTTTAAGGAACCACCAGACTGTTTTCCACAACAGCTGTACCATTTTTCATCCCCACCAGCAATGGATGAGGGTTCTGATATCTCCACATCCCCTCCAACACTTGTTATTTTCTGTTTTTTGTTTTTTTTTTTAATCTTAGTCATCCTAGTGGGAGTGAAATAGTATCTCACTGTGGTTTTGATTTGCATTTCTTTGATGGCTAATGCCATTGAGCATATTTTCTTGTGCCTGTTGGTCATTTGAATATCCTCTTTGGTGAGGTGTCTGTTCATGTCCTTCGCCCAGTTTTTGACTGAGTTATTTGTCTTTTTGTTGTTAAATTGTAGAAGTTTTCTATATATTTTAGATATTAGACCCTTATCAGTTATATTGTTCCCTAAGATTTTTTTCTGGTCTCTTTACTCTTTTGATAAAGATAAGTATCTAACTTCTGTGAGGTCCCAGTTATCTGTTTTATTTCTGTTCCTTATGCATTCATTGTTGTGTTTGATCATCTATCACTAAAAACATTAGGTCCCAAAACTTTGCTCCTGTATTTTCTTGCAAGAACTTTATGGTTTTAGATTTAACATCTAGGCCCTTGATCCATTTTGAATTAGTTTTTGTATGTGGTGTGAGGTATGGATCTTGTTTCATTTTTCTGCATGTGGAAGTCCAGTTTGCCAGCACCATTTGTTGAAGAGACTGTTTACCTTCCTCATTGAATGGATTTGGTTCCGTTGTGGAGAATCAGCTGGCCATAGATGCTTGGATTTATTTCTGGATTTTCAGTTCTATTCCATTGGTCTACGTGTCTGTCATTAAACCAGTACGAGGCTGTTTTGGTTACTGTAGCTGTGTAATCTGTTTTGAAGTCAGGAAGTGTGAGGCCTCTACTTTGTTCCTCTTCAAAATCACTTTGGCTATTCTGTGTCTGTTCTCTTTCCCTATAAAATTGAGGGTTAGTTTTTCCATTTCTGTGAAGAATGCTGTTGGAATTTTGATTGGAATTGTGTCGTATCTGTAGATTGCTTTGGGTAGTATTGACATCTTGACTGTATTAATCTTCCAATCCACAAGCACATGGAGAGCATTTTTTAATACAGGCATTGTAACATGTCTGCCTTGTGGGTATATTGTTGCCATGAACAAGGGTGAAGATGAAATGTGTTCCTAGTAATAATGCTCCAGGTAAAGCTAATAATAACTCGTGTACTGCATATTAGAATTATGTACGTGGTAAGTTATAGATTTTCAGGAATCTATTTTGGTACATGGATTTAGTGAAAATTTGATTTGACCAACAAAAGTAGGTTTTGATAGGAAAGAATAGTGTGGGCCTTAAGGGGAAAAATACTTGGATTTCCTGAAACTTTTATAAGAATTTGGCCTGTACAGCTTAGAATTGGTGAGGACAGGGAGTGCTGGTGGCACTCCCCTCTCAGTGAGCTATGGTACCCCTTGACAGGGAGCTGAGGGGAGAGGGAGCCCCATCTTCACAGCCACAGCACCCTGAATGCAGCTTCTGTTAGGCTGAGAAAGGGAGGAGAAAGGAGGGGTTCTTGGCTCAAATGCCACAGACTGTAGCTGCTCTTACCGAATTTTAGTAGATTTTCATAAATGTTTCTTTATTTCTTAGATGCCCTTAGAACAATGCCCAGAGACTTCAGATGGTGTTTTTTTTTTTTTTTTTAAATAGTTTTCACCAGTTTTGCTTGTCTCGCTGGGGAGCAGCTCCGAGGAGCAACACATGCTGCTATCCCAGAAGTGGAACTTCTCATGTCTTTCTACCCTTTCACCTTGAGGGGCTTTATGCTTTTCTGTTTTGTGAAAATGTGCATTCTGAAGCCAGATCAGATAAGTTTCAATTCCTCTGTACTAATGAACTGTGAAACTGCTGTGTGCCTCAGTTTCCTTATCTGTAAATGGGGAGAATAACTGTACACTCTTACAGATACGCATTCATTTGGGTTGTCTCCTCAGAAGTCTGATGAGAAGGTGCCTGTGGTGGGTGTGGCTGGAATGCACAAGTAGTGAGCAGCCGTCCTGCAGAGTGGACAGCAGGTCTACCAGGGAGCAAGGCTGGATTGAGGTGTCACAGTGAGTGCTCATTTGAAGTCTGTGCCCTTGAATTTAAGTGACACCAGTCATCCTGGCCCTGTGATTTTCTCTAGCGAAATCCAGGGACCTAGGTCCAGGCTTAGAGGAAGTGGTCAGTTGTGTACACCATGACTAGGGCTGGCCAGATGAATGGTTGTGTGTTCACCAGTGTGTGATAGACCAATTTGCTCTGGCTGGATGTGGAGGTGTGTGTCAGGTGGGGACCTAGATGAAGCGGAGGAACTGTGGCAGTCAGGAAGTAAACTGGAAGATTGGAGGTGGTGGTCAGTGAATGTAGTGCTTGAGATCGAGATTTTGAGGGTGGTATGGTTCCTTGGAGACAGATAAGGTTCTGAATGGCCAGGGGTACGAGGGAGCTGAGGAAAGGTAGAGAACAGCGTGATTAGCAAGGGGTCTCGAAACTGAGAGTGCCGTTGGTCCTCACGGAGGTGAAGTCGTAGGACATCGTGGACGTCATGGCAGGAGATGTGGAGTAGACAAGACCGTGAGTTAGTTCAAGGCTTCAGAAAATGACGGGAAGCAACCAGCCTGGGTCTAGGAGGCTGGCAGATGCCTGCAAGGAGGAGGAATGAGTGTCCAATGAATGGACGCTTCTGAGGAGGAAGAGGAAAGATTTGAGAGCAAAATAGGAAGAAGGGAGGACTCTGTATATCTCTCAGCCCTGAGGTAGGAGGGCTGTGAGAAGAGCCGCCCTCCACTTGAGAGAAGAGCCTTTCTTCCAGGTTAGGGGAAGCTTTGTCAGCCAGGTTTCAGATAAGGCAGGAGATAAAGAAAGCATGAGGATGTGGAGGAGAATGCTGCCCCCTGGTGACAGTTCAGGCAGCACTGTGAAAGGTTTGGGAAGCAGGGTGAGTTTGGGTCAGGTGAAGGATGAGTACTGCCAACACTGAGTCCACATGATGATGAGGGTGGCTGGGTAGCAATGGAGGTAGACGGGGAGGTGAGCATGACAGGGCTGGTCTCGATGGCCACTTGGAGGTGGGACCTGGTTTAAGCTTTGGTGCCGGGGACCATTCCTGAAGCTCCTGACCGTGTGACTGGTTAGTGTGGAAGGGGATTCTTACCAGGCATGTGCCAGCCTTGGGCAAATTTCCCTTGCTGCATTCTCTTTTCTTACTGACTTTAGAATTGTCCAGTAGCATATTGTAAGAGAATTAGGTCAAACAGCTCTTGAACAAATTTGTACATTTAGAGTCAATTTCTTTTACTCTGATTTTATAGTATTTGCACATATGATATTGCATGCTTTTCTTTTAGATGTGAGTTCAAAATACAATGAGTACGTACCAAAAGTGTCACAGGTCAGTAGGTCAGATGTTTTTGTTCCCGGTACCTAATGCTGCAGTGAGAAGTCTTTTTTTTTCAACTAAGCGGTTTCATAACATTTCAGCATTGCTGTCTCACAAAGAAGTCGGTTTTGAAATTTCCGAAGTAATTCTTTTTGCTTGGACAGCATCCCTTTGGTTACCTCTGGCTGTAAATGATTAAGTCACCAAATCCACACCTTAATATAATTCCAAAGTCAGTTACACCTTTATATGGTTACTGCCAAGTTGTTGAATGAATGAATACCAAAAATTAGAAATGGTGAACTGATCGATATTACGTTTACATAATGAGATGTGTTATGTGATTAAAAACCAAACCCGTTGCCATCGAGTTGATTCTGTCTCATAGCGACTCTATAGGACAGAGTAGAAGGGTCCCATGTGGTTTCCAAGGAGTGGCTGGTGGATTTGAACTGCCCACCTTTTGGTTAGCAGTTGAGTGCTTAATCCATTGCTCCACCAAGGCTCCTTATGTTATGTGATAATACAGTGTAAGTGTTCTTATCTTTCTGTCTAGGCAGCCTGTATTAGTTCTCTTGGGCCACTTCATAGGGTAGTATATTAAATTATTACTAGAATAAAAATTAAATAACCCTCATTTTTTTCAAAAACCACTCTTACCCTTCAGAGTCAGATGTAGTGGATGGGACGTGGAGGTTTTGTGTGAGTGCTCGTTCACATCTGGAATGTGGAAGGTGTTGTCTTTCTGCCCAGGTATGCAGCAGCTGCACACATGCTGAGCGACATTTCTGCTGCGATGGCCAGCGGGGACTGGGATGAAGCCAGGGAGCTTGCACAGCATGCACGGAGGGATTGGAACCAACTGAAGAACCACCCTTCCCTGAGGTGAGGTTTTCTCCTTTTAGGTACCTGCAGAAGTTTACTTCTTGACGAAGTTGTTCCATCACTTAAGGTAACGTTTTCGCTAGAGAACACACTGCTTACCGTGGCCAAACCAACTGTGGAGTTGAATTTCCTGCTTGCTTCACATAGACGCAGAGTGTTGTGTGAAATGCATGGAGAGCCTGAACTTGAAGTGAATTCAGTGTAGGTAGCAGCCGTTAGGTGAGCACATGGCTGCTCTATGCTTGCCTCTTGGGTGTGCTGGCATTCTGGAGCACCAGCAGCTTCATGCAAGTGTGAGGGAGCCCAGCAGCAGGACAAATGTGTGGGAAACACAGTAGGGAGCTCAAGTAGCTATTCTGAAAAAGAAATCCGGTGGACATTTGCTTTAAAAGTTCTAAGTACCTAGCTATCATTGCTGAACATTTTGATCAAAGATTTTATAGAAGAAGCCTTATCAAAAGGGAGAAAATGCAGAACAGAATTTAAAATTCTCATGGAATCCAGACTTTCTGGTGGAGGCTGGATGACCCCTTAAAACTATTGTCCTGAGATAATCTTTAAACCTTAAACCAAAAATATCCCCTGAAGTCTTCTTGAAACCAAAGAATAATTTAGCTTAACTAGGAATGAATGTCTGCCTTGAGCATTGTGCTCTTTTAAGAACTATCCATGTGGGATTGAATTGACAACAGCAACTCAAAAGATTAGATAGAAACCTTAGGGGGCAGTGAATTTTTGTTAACGGGAGGAACAACTCAGAGAAGGAGGATGAGAATGGTTGCACAACTTGAATGTAATCAGTGTCACTGAACTGTACATGCAGAAACTGTTGAATTGGTGAATGTTATTGTACGCTCTCACCAACAGCAACAACAGCAAAACGTTCCAAGTACACAGGGCATGATCTTTCATTTTTTTGTTTGATAAATGTTAAACATCTTTACTATATGTAAAGAAACCTTTGCTCTCTCGTTACATAGTGATGAAAAAAACTAGTGGGCTCAAATGCCTCTTTCAGTAAAGCATTTAGGACGTGTTGTTGTTGTGTTGGTTGCAGTTGAGTCAGTTCCGACTCATGGCGACGCCGTGTGTTACAGAATAGAACTGCTCCATAGAGCTTTCTCAGCTGTAATCTTATCGGAAGCAGATTGCCAGGCCTTTCTTCCATGGTGCTGCTGGGTAGGTTTGAACTGCCAACCTTTAGATTAGCAGTCGAGCACAAACTGTTTGCATCACATAGGGACCTTAGGACATAAATTTCATAAATAAATAATGTTGAGTTAGAAAGAAATTATAGCCAGGAAATTAGATTACTGTAGAGGAGGGCTGGCAAACTGTGTGTGTGAAGAGCTAAAGGCTTTGTGGTCTGTGAGGTGTCTGTGGCTGCTGCCCAGCTCCCCGCTGCAGTGCAGAAGTAGCCACAGACAGCACGTAAATGAACCTTATTGATGGACACTGAAATGTGAATTTCGTATGGTTTTCTCAGGTCATGGAATCTCATTCTCCTTTTGATTTATTTTAACCATTTAAAAATTAAAAAAAAAAAACCCCAAACCATTTTTAGTTTGCAGGATATACAAAATCAGGTGGTGAGCCTTGGATGTGGACTGTGGGCCATAGTTTGCTGGCCCCTGGCTTAGAATATTAACAGTTGTTCACATCTTAATCCACTGTCTAAGTGACCCATGAAATGGTGGGGTTGTGAGAATACGGTTTGTGGTGTACAAAATTTTACAAAACTGCATGTATTTAGAATATGTGTTTTTAAAAGATGGAATTCAGTCTGCTTTGTTACTTACAATTGTCTCATAATAAATAAAGCAAATTATTAAACTACTGGTGTGATCTTCATTTTAGATACCATGAGGATTTGCCACTCTTTCTGCGGTGTTTTACTGTTGGGTGGATTTATACCAGAATTTTGTCTCGAAGTGTTGAAATATGGCAGAGACTTCACATGTATGAGGTTAGAGCACGTCTCCCACAGCCCGCCTTTTACTGCTGTGTCAGTGATAAGCTGGTGTCAGAGGGCCCGCCTGGCTCTCAGCGTGTCCTGGGTGTTTGGTCAACGTGCAGTAATACAATAGAAGCGTGTTTAACATAGGCAGCTCGCTGTCTCGTGGGTAAAACAGACAGATGGCTGACGACAGGCAGCTGTTACACTTGCTCAGGAGTTGATGAGGACAGGTGACCCTGGAGGTCACGGACAGAGCCCTGCAGCCCTGAGCCTGAGCTTTTTCAGACCTCGGGGTGTGACTTGGGAGGTCTCCAGAAGTGTCTGAAATCTCAAGTCTGCTCGTTTTTCCTTCTCAGCTGTCATGGATTGTCTGGAAATAATTGACAATCGGAAACCAGAAATCTGGTTGTTTGCTTAGACTAAATAAACATTAGAGATGGCTAGAGTTAACTTTTGTTTATGTTTGCTATTTCCATATTAAAGAGTATTTCACAGAGGGGATATACTAGAGGTGGGGTTCTTGACCCCAGGTCTGTGATCCATGGGATGTGCTTTGGGAGATCTGTGTATCCCCAAAACTGTGTGTATCCATGGGCTTGCGCATTCTTCTGAGGTCAGTCATTAGATGTTTCAGAGAGAGCCATGACCCACACAAGGTTAACATAAAGAGTGACTGAACAGTCTGTGTGGGAGTCTAGACCAGGGGCCTCCCTTCTGTAGTGGGGTGTTTGGTTTGGACAACCCCCTCATTACGGTTCTGCTTGCCCCAAAGTCCCTCCCACAGCTGGTCCTATGACCTGCTGGGTTCCCAGAAGCACATGTGCTTGCCGCCACTCACTTGTGCGCAGCTGCGGGGAGCCTGGTCCTGTGAGTCTCTTTGGTGATTGACTCAGCTGCCCAGAGAATATCATGCAGCATTCACAGTCCTCTCACGTGCTTGCTGACTGGCGTGGCCCTCGTTGAGAAATACGGTGCCTCAGGGAAGTCCTGCCCACTCATAAGCATTCTCAAAGCACCTGTCCTATCTTCCTGTCCTTAGCCTTACTTTAGGATGGAAAGATATGCTTTATAAATACACTTTGCCAATTCTGTTAGATTCTAAGCATAATCACAGTTAATTTTTCTGTGAGTTTAATAAGCTTTCTTTGTTATTTGTTGCAATAGGAAGCAGTCAAGGAACTTGAAAACCTTTTGTCTCAGAAAGTTTATTGTCCTGAGAGCAGAGGCCGATGGTGGGATAGACTGGCGCTTAACTTACACCAGCATCTGAAACGCCTAGAACCGGTAAAATATGGTGAATTTATAAAATATTTAACTTGTAAATACCATAAAAATCTAAATGTAATTAGAGCATTAATTTCTTTTGTTGACATTCTTTTGTTTGTGCTCTTCCATCCAACCCTGTCTGAGGCTGGGTTCTGGAGAGGAGCAAAACTGGTGAAGCATACATATAAATATATTCAGAGAGATTTATTTCAGGGAAATGGCTCACGCAGTTGTGGAGGCTGACAAACCCAAAATCTACAGGTCAGGCGGCAGGCTGCTGGCTCATGGGGTTATGGGAGCTGGCAAGTCCGAAGTCTGCAGGTCAGGTGGCAGGCTGAAGTCTTCTTACATTCCAAGAACTGGTGGTCAGAGGATGACGAGAGGAACGAGGATGGAGAGAGAGTGAGCTTTGCCAGAACATTCGTTTATAACATGGATGCAGGCCACATCCCCAAGGAAACTCCTCTTCCAACTGATTGGCTGCTCACTTCAGATCACAAAGTAGCGTCTGCCAAACCAGTGAGAATTATAGCCTGGCCAGGTTGACACATGACATTAACATCACAAACCCAGAAGAAATAACAGGGCTACTAAAGCAAACAGTAACGCAAAGACGTGAACGTTTGTTTCTCTTCACCGATTTGGACGATATGTTGGCAGTGGGAGCTGTGCTGGGATTTAGGAGCCAGGATCTAGGAGTTGAGAGGGCACGTCAGGGTGTCCCCACCCTCAGCAGGTGCCTTCCAGGAAGGTGTGTTTTATTTTAGAAATGATGATTTAATTTATTTGTTGCACAGGACCTCAGGTAGGAAAATTGATTGAAAAAAGCTTCTTTTCCTAGTTGAGCTTCGTCCTTCAGTGAGGTACTTTGCTTTGCTGCTGGGGATGTGTTGTGTGACTGACCCTGAGCAGGCAGCCCAAGCCCCTTGCCCGTGGTGGAGGACCAGCGGGTGGAGCTCAGTGTCGGTGGCTCCTAGCACTGGGCATCTGGGTGAAGGAGGAGTCTAGGCCTCCGGGAGCTTTTGTTTTTCCACTGGTGCGTGAAGGGGGCTAGGGTTACATAGGGGTGGAAAAACTGACCAGGGAATGTGCAGCTAGGACATAGTGCTCTTCCTGCCTTCTCCTGAAAAAGCGCCTTGTTACCGCAAGTGCTTCAGGCCCAGGAGGCTGTTCTCTCACCTTGAGGTGGCTGTGGTGCTCTCACCTCTAGCGTTTGTTTAGGCTGAAATAGCAAGTGAAAGCGTCTGTCAGCCTATAACCAAATATTGAGAAAACTTGTATTTATGTTGCTGCTTTTTTCCGTTAAAAGTTCAGAAGATTTGACAGCTTTCACCCTCGTTCACAGTTGAGTTAATGGGAACATTCACTCATATACACAGAGGTGGATGAGCCCCTGAGCTTAGGGTTTTTTTTTGTTTTTTTTTTAATTGTAGTTTAAGTGAAAGTTTACAATTCAAGTTAGTCTCTCATACAAAAATTTATACATACATTGTTACATCACCCTAATTGCTCTCCCTGTACTGTGACAGCACACTCCTCCTTTCCACCCCTGATTTCCCGTGTCCATTCAACCACCTCCTAACCCTCTCTGCCTTCTCATCTCACCTCCAGACAGGAGCTGCCCATTTAGTCTCATGTATCTATTTGAGCTAAGAAGTACACTCTTCATGAGTATCATTTGATGTCCCATAGTCCAGTCTCATCTTTGTCTGAAGAGTTGGCCTCGGGAATGGTTTTAGTTCTGGGTTGACAGAGAGTCTGGGGGCCATGCTTTCTGGGGATCCTCCAGTCTCAGTCAGACCATTAAGTCTGGTCTTTTGACTGGAGTTTGAGTTCTGCACTCCACTTTTCTCTTGTTCCATCAGGGACTCTCTGTGGTGTTCCCTGTCAGGGTGGTCATTGGTGGTAGCTGGGCACCATCTAGTTTTTCTGGTCTCAGGCTGATGCAGTCTCTGGTTTATGTGGCCATTTCTGTCACTTGGGCCAATACTTTCCTTGTGTCTTTGGTGTTCTTCATTCTCCTTTATTCCAGATGAGTTGGGACCAATTGATGTTTCTTACATGGCCGCTTGCTAGCTGTTAAGACCCCAGACGCCACTCACCAAAGTAGGATGCAGAACGTTTTCTTAATAAACTTTGTTATGCCAGTTGACCTAGATGTCCCCTGAAAGCATGGTCCCCAGACCTCCGCCCCCGCTACTCTGTCCCTCAAAGTGTTTGGTTGTATTCAGGAAATTTCATAGCTTTGGTTTAGTCCAGTTGTGCTGACTTCCCCTGTATTGTGTGCTGTCCTTCCTTTCACCTAAGATAATTCTTGTCTACTATCTAGTTAGTGAATAACTCTCTCCCTCCCTCCCTACTCTTGTAACCATCAAAGAGTGATTTCTTCTGTGTTTAAACCTTTTCTTGAGTTCTTATGATATGGTTTTATACAATATTTGTCCTTTCGTGACTGGCTAAATTCACTCAGCATAATGCCTTCCAGATTCGTCCATGTTATGTTTCATGGATTCATCGTTGTTTTTTATTGTTGAGTAGTATTCCATTGTGTGAATATACCATAATTTGCTTATCCATTCATCTATTGTTGGGCACCTAGGTTGTTTCCATCTGTTTGCTATCGTGAACAATGCTGCAGTGAACATGGATGTGTATGTATCTATTTGTGTGATGGCTTTTATTTCTCTAGGATGTATTCCAAGGAGCAGGATCGCTGGATCGTATGTTACTTGTATTTCTAGCTTTTTAAGGAAGCCCCAGATCGATTTCCAAAGTGGTTGTACCGTTTTACATTCCCACCAACAGCGTGTAAGTGTTCCAGTCTCTCCACAACCTCTCCAACATTTATAATTTTGTGTTTTTTGGATTAATGCTAGCCTTGTTGGGGTGAGATGGTATCTCATTGTAGTTTTGATTTGCATTTCTCTAATGGCTATTGATCGTGAGCACTTCTTCATGTGTCTGTTAGCCTTCTGAATGTCTTCTTTGGTGAAGTGCTTGTATATATCCTTTGCCCATTTTTAAATTGGGTTATTTGTCTTTTTGTTGTTGAGATTTTGCAGTATCTTGTAGATTTTAGAGATTCAGTGCTGATTGGATTTGTCATAGCCAAAAATTTTTTCCCAGTCTATAGGTTGTCTTTTTACTCTTTTGGTGAAATCTTTTGGTGAGCATAAGTGTTTAATTTTTAGGAGCTCCCAGTTATCTAGTTTCTCTTCTGTTGTTTGTGTGTTGTTACTTATTCTGTTTATGCCAAGTATTAGGGCCCCTAGTGTTGTCCCTATGTTTTCTTCCATGATGTTTATTGTTTTCGATTTTATATTTAGGTCTTTGATCCATTTTGGGTTAGTTTTTGTGCATGGTGTGAGGTATGGGTCTTGTTTCAGTATTTTACAGACGGATATCTAGTTCTGCCAGTGCCGTTTGTTAAAGAGACTGTCTTTTCCCCAATTAATAGACTTTGAGCCTTTATCAAGTATCAGCTGCTCATAGGTGGATGAATTTATGTCCGGATTCTCAATTCTTTTCCATTGGTGTATGTATTTGTTGTTGTACCAGTCCCAGGCTGTTTTGACTACTGTGGTGGTATAATAGTTTCTAAAATCAGGTAGTGTGAGGCCTCCCGCTTTGTTCTTCTTCTTGAGGAAGGCATTACTTACCTGGTTTGTTCTTCTTCTTGAGGAATGTATTACTTACCTGGTTTGTTCTTCTTCTTAAGGAATGCATTACTTACCTGGTTTGTTCTTCTTCTT